TTTATTAATATATAAATTTTATAAATATAATTGTACTAAAATATTGTAACACTCTAAATTAATGTTCCATTTATTGTCTTAAGCGATATTTTTTATAATAAAATGTTGTATAATTAATAATTGTAGTGACAATAGTAATCATCTTTTATTTTATATACTTGAAATTCATATACCGATTTGATTTTACAGACTGTCAAAATATTTTAAAATTATAAGTCTCTAGCAAACAATAAATATAACAGTTTACAATAAATCATAAATATGTCATTGATTTATTGAATTAGGTGAAGGATCTGACAATTGATGTGTATTATTTGAGGACACGGTATTTATAGAACTGAGGCTTTCTTGTTTTATATTAGAACTGCTAAGATTCATATTGATCACAGTCGTCGATGTAGGATTCTGCATATCTAATTGACTTTGCGCAATATCCTGTAGAGCTGCTTGAATTCGTTGAAGAAGTGTCTCTCCTTGTCTTACTACTTCCTCTAATTGTTCACCAGCCTGTTGATTCTCCTGTTCGAGTCTGCTAAGGCTGGCTACTTGTAACTCCTGTGATGATTCTTCGCTCGGCAAACTCTCTATTAATGTATCTATATCTTTGGCACACCTTGCAATGAGATTTGCAAATAAGGCAGCGTAATCTAAAATAGATGAACTATGATTTATAATCAACATGTATATTTAACCCTAAATAAATACAATCAGATCATTTGTATCCTACATTTCTTTTTTTTTTTAAATACTAAGAGTACCTGACTAAATAATAGCTTCTGTTCTTTTTTTTTCTTTTTATATAATTTTATAAACACCTATTAAAGATGTTAAAATATATATAAAAATAAAATTTTTATATACTTATAAAAGTAATAAAAATTAATCCAGGACACAAATGATCTATACGTATAAAGGACTGTAAAATTATTTTATGTACTAAAGAGTAGTATTATATTATCAATATATATTGAAACATATAAAAACCTTCTTGAGATTGATGTGGCTGCGGGGTACCGATGCGATCAAAACCAGGAAATTTACTGGGCGTAGAATACTGTTGTAGAATACCAACGCTGTTGCAAAAGTGTTCTGCTTGCTACACCAAATCGACAATTAAAATCATTAAGATGCTAAGATGATAAACGTATGAGACAATAAAATAGAAATATTTTATTACTTGATTTATGGTGTCTTGCAACTGTGTTAGGCGATCTGCCATAATATTGAATTAATATGGATCACTTGTAATTAATTTAGATAGCCTCTTATAACATTCATAACAATCAATAAAGATAAGAATGCAAGAGTTTACCACCTGTCAAGACACCCTAACAATCTCAGCGCTTCTTAAAGAAAAACAATATAATTGATTAAAATATCACTTAATTTTCTATGCAATCACTTTTCTTATCATAACGTACTCGAAATTTTGTTTATACCTATTTATTGAAAAAGACGTTCTAAAACAACAATCTCAGAAAACGGTAAAAAAAACCGTAATCTAACCTCCACACTTCCATGTTTTCAGCGCCACCTAGACGCTAGCCAAACACATGTTTAGGTTTCTTACTCTTTTCCATAATTCCTAGGGAATTAGAAAAGAAGTTTAGATTTAAGTTGGCTACCTTTTTTGCAAAAAGAGCAGGTCACCTAAAATTAGAAATCCAATAGAAAAACAATAGAAAACAACAGATTTTTGCATCATTCTAGTAATGCACGAGACACATAAGATTTTATGCTACTCTAGATGGAACAATATAACTTAAATTTCTTTAATTTTTATTATAACTTGGAAAATAAAACTTAAATTTATGATCATATATTCTTTTTTCATTCTATATCTCAAATTCACTCTCTAAATTATTGACATACAATTTAGAGAAAAAATCACTCTGTTTATAATACATTGAGAATATTTACATTGTTTATAATTGTAGACATAATTGTACTAAATATAATTTCAATTGTATTTCTTAATGTTATTTATCAATTAACACGTTTAGTAGTCGACGATAAATATAAAATGAAACACTGTAATATAATTCTACCATTAGGTGTAGTAATGATTCAGACATTTATCTCACTTTTCCAAATATCGAAGTCAAATACTGGATCAGAAGGGTCTCATAATAAAATAGGAAGAACGCATCTTAACATAATTTAGCATTTTCCATTGCATTTTTATAAAATGTTTACATGGGGAAATATTTACAAAAATATGAGTAGGGTATGATGAAGTATGAAGACGGGAAAAAGAATGAACAATTCAGTTGAGGGTACCACGGCATTGAGGAGCTCCGCAAAGGCAAGGGATTTTGTCATCCTCCAATGGGAATTTATAATCATAAGTAATTTCTTCATTAACTCCTATCGGTTGTTTACTGTAGATTACGATCTTCTTTTGACTTTCGATCGTGATTACTTTTGCGTAACAATTCGGCTAAAAGAAATAAAGATTTGATAACCACAATATAAAGTATATAATATTACAATATAAAGTATATAATATTATGTAATATTATAAATATATTGCTCTTTCTCTCATTTCAAGATTAATTAATATTGAGTTTTGTGACCGTATTAATAAACTACAGATTAAGATTGGAATATAACAAATCAGAAGAAAACTAATATTTTTATCAATATTTTTATCAATTCATCAAGTTAAATTTTAATTTAGATTTTAATTTTCAATTTTTTATTTTAATGTTCAATTTTCTCTGTTTTTCACACATATACACACAACACACAAAATATATTTATCATATTGCATAGCCAGTCAAGATTAAAGAAATAGAGTGACTTACATTACAACTGTGATTTATAAACCTCGCCAAATTGCCGCATTTTGTCGCATCGATAATTGTATCTAAATCGATGCGGAAGAGGTAAGAACTTCCAATTCCAGTGGCCTCGTATTGAGCTTCTCGTAGATCGGCTACAACCGGTCTAACCATTTGTCCAACATACTCGATAACCATTTCATCGGCCGCGATTGGTTCCATGGCGAACAAGCCCCAATCGTGAATGCCAGATTTAGCAAACTTCAATTGCTTTTTACGGAACTAAAACACAAAATATATATTATGAATTACATTAGAATATTATACATCAATATTAATAGATATATTGAATTATATATATCACTACCTATATTAATAGATATTTTGAATTTATATATCCTACCTTTAATTGATTAAACTTAAGGAGATCACTGTCTGTATCAATTCCAAAAGCTGTTAATAGCCGACGTTGATTACTTCGTGCCTCACGTGACAATGCTTGCATTTTGCCAGTCAACGCTTTAGAATTATTTTTTGGACCATTCATTACACCATCACCTCCACTATAAGAGCCGCCGCTGTCTTCTACATCATTACTGCGCTGTATACTTTGAGCATAATGATGCTGCAAAAGCAAAAAGGATGATTTACTGCTTTTCTATAGATTTTCTTTAATAATAAAATAACATTATAATATAAACATTACAATATAATATAAAAAAATGTCTGAACTTTAAATTTTCTTTAGAAAAATGAAAACTTTTACAAACATATCAGATAAATCATTTTTTACTTTATGTTTAGCCTTCTCTCTGATGTCAACTTTATAATATCCTTCCGTTCTAGCGCTTCCACTCGCATGCAATCGGAGTTCGTCTCGTTTCCTCTTTTTCGCGGGGCTCGGTACATCCGTCGGCGAATGATCAACCCAGTGCGTATCGTTCAACCAGTAACCTTGAGTGTCGTCCGCTAATAAAGCCTCGTAACTTCTTCTCAAATATTCTACATCTTCCGAGTCTATTCCCCTAGTTAAAAACTCGTACAAAATAGCCATTTCTGACATAAGATCTCGTTCTTTGTACGTGACAGTCGGTTCTGGAATCTGTTTAGGAAGCTTATCATATATATAATCATTTCGGATATTTTCCTTCTCTCCCATATGATTCTGATTGCTGTGTATTTTTGTATATTTCTTGGATTTCTGTTTCTCAGTTTTATGAGTATTATCTTTCGATTTCGTTAATTTAACAATCTTTGGATGTTTTACTTTCATCGAGGCTGGTGGTACTCGTATCATCGGTTCTACCGGTTCAGGTTGTGCAGGTGGCAATGAATACGAATGTTCCATATACACCTGCGAAGCCTGAGAACCAGGTGAACTTGGTGTCCGCTGTCCATTCAATCGAAGCTCTGTCTCCGCTTGATACCTATATAGATAATATTGTAATGTTATGATTTAAAAATATTTAATCAGCAAGTTTAATCACTCCGAGAGCGATTAATGACGTCACAAGTTTCTATCTCTTCGATTTCTGACCATGATACTTTCGGGTCGAACTTTCGTTACTCACTCTCGAAACGATCAAACCCACTATAAAAAATTTTAGATTGTTATTACACACAAATCAATAAACACGTTCAGATTATTGATGGTTTCCAGCAAGAACATAGTCCGTCACAAAGAATCATTTCATTCTTATTTAATGTAAACAAAAAACAAGGATGTAACGATTCACTATGTTACACTGTATCTGACTGTATCCTTGCTGGAAAACACTCCAAATAAAGCAGCTACCCTGCTTACCGATTGAACATGGTTGGTTCACAAGTAAGAATTAATCATGTTCAATCGTTCAGCGAACAGGTTAACTAAAATTTATCCATTTTAAATGTGTCCATTGCAATTATTGTAATTAATCCTATAGTATGTACTGTGATTTATAATATTATATACAAAAAAAAATCAAAACACATTCCTTAAAAAAACTTATTTAACTAACCTTAATCTTCTGATTTCTAAGCTCTCTTCCTCTGAGTCAGTTGTAGGAATCTCACTAAACATTTCAATCTTTTCATTATCCTTCAAAATGGGTTCATCATTGATGTATTTTGCTGACATTGTCTGTAGTGCTCTAATAATATTAGGTTGTATAGGACCTGGACTCTTGTGCCGTATAATATTATCATGTCCAGCTAGAGTCATCAGAGCTTCCGCAGCCGAATTTTCCATTTTTTGTATATCCGGTAATACCTCTTCCTTTATTGCTGATGTTATTACCACCGGTTTCATATCGCTCTGTGTTCCCTTATCTTCAGTGATCGATGTATCTTTCACTTCCTTGTCTAAGGTTCTACACACATCAAATGGTTTTTCTTCCACTACAGGTAATTTCTCAGAAATTCTTTCCTCTTCTTTTATGCTTTCATATCTTATGGAAGAAGATAATGAACTATTCAGATTGTCATCATCAATCTGCGGGAATTCGTTTGAATTTTGATCTTTAATTTTGATATCTGGTACCGGCGTTTCTCTGCCAGTTGGGGTAGGACAGTCTAGAGATCTTTGGATCGCAAGTTCCATCAAAATATCAGGATCTTCGCTATTACAAGCCAAAGGCCTATTGTCGGACATTCGACTATCTGTATCTTGCTAAAAATAAATTTATTTTAATTAGCATATCTCCTTAAGTCTGTCGTATTTTTTTTTTAATCATTGCGCTTACTTGCACTTTATACACACCTCATCCTCAAAGCAAGCTTCTGCATCGGAACTTTCATTTGAACTATCGGAAGATTCACTGGAACTAATCTCCTCGCTACTACTTTCGATCGACGAAGACGTAGTAGACGAGGAAGAAATGGTCGGAAGAGAAGTCATCGGTTTCTTTGTTTTTTGTACAGGTGGTACATCTAGATCACTATCACTTTCAATTGTTTCCATATCAGCATGACCCGATTGTCGACTGTCCTCATCCTGCGGTAATGGGCTTGGAGCTTTGATCTTGCGCTATATATATATAAAAATAAAACTAAAATAATAACAATGTCCAATGTTTAGCGAAAAAAAATATAAGATACAACATTATATAATTTAATGTTGAGTGATAATAATTCCACCATATAATTTTATGCATAATGTTATTATTGTTCATAACTTTTGACTCCTTATTTTATTTTTTTTTCCCCTTGACTCTTCAATTTCTTTTATTAAATTAAATTTATAACTCTTACAATAATTTTCCGTTCTTATATACATTATATCTAAGACTTGACATTATGTATGTTAAATATGTTGTAAAATCAACTTATATTCCGCATATACTGCTTTGATCTCTATTTACTATGATTATTATTTTTATTCAATCTGATCTTTGACAATTTAAACGCTCGTGAGACTTATTCGACACTACGAATTGCTTAAGTCAGAGTTCAATTAGTTCCGCATAAAAAGTGCTGTGAAAAAGTACTAATTTGTGAATAACAGCATTCAAAGCTTTATGACAAGATTTGGCAACCGTGGAGATGAGTTGTTTGCCATTCTTTGATTAAATTTAAATTTTTCAAGTATTTGAAACATAGTACAATGTAAACGCGTTTTAGTGAATAAAGAAGTTTCATAGATATATTATTTGTGCGATGTCTTCTGCGCTCTTACTGCCCGTATCCTTTCCAGTTTTTTCATAAGTATTTGAATTTGAAACAGATTCCACTAGTTTTGGCAAC